ATTTGAATTTTTTTCATTTTCTGTTTTTTAGATCAAGTAGGCCCACAAAAAGTCTTTCATAACGTTCTAGATAGAAAATGAACCTTTCTAGACAATAAAGATATCGAATTTAAAAAGTGGGAAAATTTGCGTTTTTGCTAAGGGGTAAGTCATGTTTTGGTCAAAAATTTGAATTTTTTTCATTCTCTGTTTTTTAGATAAAATAGGCCAATGAAAAATCTTTGATGACGTTCTACATAGAAAATTAGCCTTTCTAGACGATAAAGATACTGAATTAAAAAAGTGGTCTCTTTTTTTTTTTTTTTTTTTTTTATTTGTTTTTTTTTTTTTTTATCAAATAGACCCAAAGAAACTCTTTCATGACGTTCTAGAGGGTCTCAATGGGGTTAGCCGATAGGCGTAAACCGGCCAAAAATTTAGTCGATAGCCGTAAAAACTGAAAAATTTTAACCGTTAGCCGTAAATAGGGTAAAAAAGAGTTAACCGTAAAAGAAATTGTTCCCCAGATTTGCTACTTTTAAGGAAGGTACTAAACTCACTTATGGTTACGTTTTTTATTTCCCGGCTATTGTGACTCCGTACGCAAGTTAGGTAAAGCGCCCTTTAGGTGTTCGGACCAAGACCCATTTCCATTTCCGCCGTTCTCTCGAGGAACTAATTTTTTTTTTCCATAGCAAAAGTGTGGCTTCTTGCTGGGAACTAATATTTGCGATTTTCAGAAGGTCGCGCCCTCGAAACACTAGTGAAACAACACGCAGGGAGTCTCACTGTTTGTAAAACACGTTGCTGATAAACAAAATTTCCCTGTTTTTCTCTTACGCTACGGTAGACATTGCCATGCCATGCCTAGTCCCTGTAAGGCGTCTTCCCACGCAGTCTCGATCAAGGCACTTCGATGACGAACTCGCTCGGACCAGGTGACCCGAAACGCATTAGCCGCGCGAAATAATGAGGCCTACGGACAAGGCAACGGCTGATAGTGGTTCCATACAGTCCTTCGCTATCATTAAAAACACTGAACACGGGAATTTTGTTATTGGCCGTTTTCACACTAGAGCTAGAAACGGATTATCCGTCTGAGACTAGCCTGTGTACAGTCGCCCCCTTCCGCCTTCCCGACAGACACCCCTTCTCCGATTTTTTTCTGAGGGGAGGGGGCGGCTGTACACAGGCTATCTGGAACGGATAATCCCGTCTTCAAACTGTCCGTCGAAATTGAAGGATAAAGTCAGGCGGATTGTTCATTCAAAATTAAAACTATTAATTTCATTTTCAAATTAAGACGTATTTACCTATCTGACGCGAATCATCAAACGGATAACCCGTCTCACACGAATAATCCTCAGTCTCTAGTGTGAAAACGGCCATTTCTGTTGTAATGAATGTCGCGCCCCGGCCTTGAGTTGGACGTTCGCGTGTGTGCTTTGCTTTTTCACAAAGATTATTTTTAAATTGACTATTGACATTTCTATGTGTAAAATAATATTAGAAGTGGAATACTTTATAAAAAGTATGATCTATCAAATGTTAAAATTTTTCAAAAGAATAGCTTGTTTCACATCCCGAGATGATCTGAAGACCTTTATTTTGCTTTAAAGATACAAAAAATACAGGTTAATTAATATTTAACTTTTTGAAACAAAAGAAGTTAATTTTTAACTTTTTTGTTAACCGTAACTGAAAAAAAATTGCCGATAGCCGTGAAAGAGCCAAAATTTTAGCCGATAACCGTAAATACCACCACCCCATTGAGACCCTCGTTCTAGATAGAAAATTAGGCTTTCTAGACTATGGAAAGATCGATTTTAAAAAGTGGCATAATTTTCATTTTCCGAAAGGGGTTAGGCCATGATTTTGGTCAAAAATTCGAGATTTCTATATTCTCTGTTTTTCAGATGAAGTAGGCCAACAAAAGTTTTTGACGAAGTTCTAAATAGAAAATTAGCCTTTCTACACTACAAAAACAACGGTTTATAAACGTCGCAAAATCTGCATTTTTCCAAAGGGGTTAATCCATTGATTTGGTCAAAAATTTTTGGTCTTTTCATTCTTGACTTTTGGGCAATACAGGCCGAGAAAAAGTCTTTGCTGACGTTCTAGAAAAAAAAAATTAGCCTTTCTATACTATAAAAACATCAATTTCGAAAAATTGGCGAAATTTGCATTTTTTCGAAGGGGTTAATCTATAATTTTCGTAAAAAATACGAAATTTCGCTATTCTTCCTTTTTAGGCCAAATAGGCTGAAAACGTCACTGGAAACGCGTTCTGGAGAGGAAAATAGCCTTTCTAGACTATAAAAACATCGATTGATAAAAGTTGCAAAATTTGCATTTTTCGAAAGGGGTTAGTTCACGGTTTTGGTCAAAAATTCAAAGTTCGAATTGTTTTAATCTTGATTTTTGGCAAGAGCCTTAATAGTCCTATTATGGCTCTTGTTTTTGGTCAATGTAGGGGGAGGAAAGGCATTGTATGACGTTCTAGATAGAAACTAGCTTTTCTAGACTATAAAAACATTGGTTGATAGAAGACGCAGAATCAGCATTTTCAATAGGTGTTAGACCACGGTTTTGGTCAAAAATTTCAAATTTCTTTATTCTCTGTTCTATAGATGAAATAGGCCAAGAAATGTCTTTGACGAAGTTTTAGATAGAAAACTAGCCTTTCTACACTATAAAAAGAACTCTTGATAAAAGTCGCATAATCTGTATGATTTTTGGTCAAACATTTTTAATTTCTTCATTCTTGGTTTTTTAGATCAAATAAGCCTATAGAAAAGTCTTTCATGACGTTTTAGATGGAAAACTAGTTTAGGTGATATCGTGAAAAATTTTTCTTTAAAGGTGGCTATTATCTTCTCTTAATCTCCTACTACCAGCTCCTTTTCTCTCTAACATGAAATCGAGGCTGAATAAAATGGCTATATGTACCAGCTTAGCCCTCGAGTTTTTCGTAAAAAACTGGAACAATTTTGAAAGAAACAAGTTTCTTTTGTCTGAAAATGGATCGTTAAACTCGAAAAGCGCTCGGTATAATCCACCAAAAAAAAATTTTGAACAAAGATACTGTGACACGCCCCAGAAGAAGCACGGTATTTATCATATCGCTAAGTCTAAGGAGATATATGAGCATGTTGGTTTTGTTGTGGAGTGCGTTTCTTAGATTTTGTTTAGTTTCAACGTTTAGCCTTGCTTTCAAGTTAAATTCATTTTCACTGTTGTCGGCTTTTAAAAACATAGTTATAACTCAAAACGTATGCCAGAATTTGAAACCACGAACTACCTAACCAAAAAGAGGGTGCTTTAATCTATCAAAGACAGCTTAAGACCATCGTCAAACCTTTTCTGTCCACTGGGTCAAGCAAAACGGCCCTAGCTTCCGGACTGTCAAACAACCAATCAGAGATGAGCTGACAATGGTGCGTAGTACCCAGTGTAAGTCACGTACAGTGTTATGATAAGCGGAAAAGGTTCACTTCAAAATGAGAATTGTTGCCAAAAACTAAGTTCAATTTTTGATTACAATGTTAAAAACAACGGAATATGAAAAAGGATTGACGTAAAGAATACAGTTTGGGTGATGGGCTCTGGGTTGAAGAAAATAAATTTCCTTACCTCTTAGATCTTTCGGACTAATCCTACAAAATCATCTCCTCCAAACTCCGGTTTACTTGCAGTCTTATCCTTGAAAAGCCACGTTATGGTGATGTTACACGGGACGATTCGCAACGACGGTTTTTAGCGCAACACAGCGTTGCAATGCAGGAACAATGTTGCAACGCTGCCTTGCGCTGATAATCATCATTTGAAGTCAGTTCTCCCGGGCTAGCATTCCCGGGAATCCTTGGTACGCTCACGCTTTCGCAATCGATTTAGCCATGTCACTCTTTATATCGGCCCGCCGTCCCAGATAAAAACTGTAAAAAGGTACACTAAACTTATATATTGACGGCAGCATGAAAGACTGAAAGACCAAATAATTTTATCCTTCTTGAATCGTCCAAGACTTTCTTCCAGACAAAAAAAATCCTACAATTTCCTCTTCTTTAATTCTGGCAACACGCTTTATACTCTACTCAAATTAATGAGGAACAACACAGGATTGATTTGTTTCTTTTGAGCCAAGAATGATTAGTGAAACACTTCAATTAAAATAAACGATTCTCTCTGGCCCATGTTTTACTGTAAAAGACAAAACTGACTGGGTAAAGGTCGTTAATTAAGGATGACTTTTCCCTGGCTCCAAATGTCCCTTGTCCGAATAATTAGTTAAAATAAGACGATAAATTAAACCGCGCCTACGGTTTTTAAAGTCCCCTAGGAAATTTTTCTTCTACAGGTTGTGCTTTGTTTTAGCAACTTTGCCGCTTAACTGAGCTTTGCCTAGCTTCTTGATCGGTTCAAAAGGTAGCTTTAATCAAATCCAAAAGGCTCAAACCTCTAATACAAAGCTATATTGAGTTTTCGGCAAAACATCTGACAATTTTGCTCTAGTTGCGGAAGCTATAACAACTTCTTGCTCATGTTTCTGTTCTGTACTGCCAGCTTCTTATGTAGTTTAAGGCCCGGGTCTTATTGGTTTACCTAACAAAAAGTGATTTGTTGGCTATCATGTCGACAAAAAAGGAAGGAACAGAGTCAAAACTTAGTACGCAAGAAAGACCTCATCATCTTTCATTTTTACGGTTTAACTCGCTCCACTGTCTTTTCCCCTGGCTTGTTCCACCGCAGGTTACATGGTCTGTGGCAGCAACTAGCACAGTAACGGGTTGGGGAGTTTCAGTTTGCCATCCAAAATACAGTCCTATGGTTTGGAGTTTCTCAGCAATTTTGTAGTCAATCGTAATGCAAGGAGAAACTGTTTCGACGCCAGTACACTAGCCTTTCAGCGAAATATATCCGTCTGTCAACAGCCGGGCTGAACTGCCCGTCTGTCTTGCTACATGAAGTTTATAACACTTAACGGTTATTAACTTTACTTTCAACTCTCTTTTTAGTTCCTGTTAGTTCACCTTGCACTCGCTGTTGGCGCTGGAGTTGTCATAGCCTGAGGGTAGGTCCAAAGATATGTCCTCTTCCCGACCAGAGTCATCTCTTGAACTCATAACCTCATGTGATGTCGGCTCCTCACCACAGCCGCTATGAAGTGCCACATTTTCGACAAAGTGTTCTTTTCTAAACTGAAAAGGTACTCCAGTCTTGCACGAAACAGTTACTTTCCCCAAACCAATAACAACGATTGCTTGTTTCATCTCAACGGTCTTTTCCAATAGGTAATCCCCCTCTTTTAACAGAACAATTTGATTTAATTCCTCACGCTCTGTGATTTCTTGAAGAACAGTGCGCAATTCATCTGAGCTTTTAACAACGTCGATTTGTAGAGCTCCATAACGTTCAATGACTGAAGAAATATCCCGACCAGAACTCAAGTGATTAAAGACAGCAGCAGCAGCCAAGGCTTCGTGTTTCCTCCCTAACTCTGCTAAACTCGTTGCCTTGGTGTGGTATCCAAGAAACCAAGAAGGATCTGCTCTAATAGAAGACTCTGAATCTTTTAACGCAAGCTCCAATAAGGATTCCCGATCATTCATGTTCCGGTTTTTCTCTGCTAATTTCAAGTAGGTTGACGCTCTAGCTGTAAGGAGCTGTGGGTCTTCTGAACATATGGCTAATGCCTTGCTGTAGTGAGATAAGGCCTCATCTAATTGGCCACGATTGAGGCTTTCCTTAGCTTTTTCTTTGAGCATTTTGATTGTATCAACTGAGGATGACAGTTCTATGTTCTCAGTGTAAACAGTTTTATCCAGGCGCAGTAGAACATCTTTAGTGCACACAATTTGGACTTTTCCCACACCAACCATTACTGCGTTCGCTGGAACTTTCATTGACTCCGTCAACTCATATCTTCCTTCCTTGACCAAAATCACAAGATTCCTTCCGGCCTCTCTCCTGACTAGTTGAAGGAGTTCATCAACTGTAGCAATCACCTTTATACTGTAATGTCCGAAGTGCTCCACGACGGCTGGTATTCCAGAGCATTGGGATGGGAAAAAGTGTCTGGCAACAGCAGCCGTAGCAAGACTTGGACCTCTCTGTCCAAGTTTAGAGAGACAAACAGCTTTCCAGTAGTAGCCTTTCACCCAAGAGGGATCTGCAGTTAACGCCACATTCGCGTCTTGACAGGCTAATTGAAGAAATTTCCGTTTTTCCTCTGCAGCAAGGCCATGTTGCTCTGAAAGTTTCACATACGTTGCTGCCCTATTAGTTAGCAGCTTAGCATCATTAGGGCATTCATTAAGTACTCGGTTGTAAAGATTTAGTGCCCTGGAATAACAACCGGATTTGAAGCAATCATTAGCTAAGTTTTTTACGTTTCTGGCTAAAAGTACTTTCCTGTCGCAACGAGCACGTGATGAAAAATGATGGTTGGATGCTTGTTTCGCAAAGCACTGCCACAGTTGTTCTAGGCGTTTGAAAGTCCCTCCCTGATTCCCAAGGAAAAGGTGTACCATTTCCATAAAGTAGTTCGCTTCTGCAACGTCCGGGTGGTTATCTTCGTACATTTTCTTTCGAAGTGATATTAACTTCTCTGCAACACTACGGTAAAAGTGTCCCTCTTGCTTGCTAAGTTTACTTCCTATGTTTAGATGGGCGTTGAAACACGTCATTAAATTCTCCAGGACGGTAGACGCATGTTCATAGCTACTTTCATCGACTTCATGTTTGCTGTCACTTATAACTCTTGCGACAGCTCCGCTTTGGATATCTTTGTACAGATCAGGCCACCTGTCTACCAAAATATTGCAAAGTATATTCTCAGCCCTGTAAGGGTCAAAACATCTTATGACAGTAAGGGCGCTCGTTATTCCCCTGAGGTAATAATCTGACGCTGGGGGTTGTTTCTTTGCAATTTGCAGCATTTCTTCAGCATATACTCGAGCCTCTTGTAGCTTGTCGTCATTATAGAAATGCATAGTTACAAACTGTAAGACACGAAGCAGTTCATGGTGGTCAGAGGGATAGATCTTACGGGCAAGTTCAAGGGCCCTCAGATGACGTTTCAAAACGCATTCGAAGTTACCAGCAGATATGAAATTCTCTGCTCTTCCTATCATGATCTGGAGATTTACAACATTCTCGTCACTCAACGATAAGCCTTCGAGCTCTAACAAAGCTTCATAGTTTTCCTTCCATTTCCCTTCTGATGCGTAGTAGGATGCAATGTGCTCAAGGACATGGTACTTAACACGATCCATAATCACAAAACCAGACTTTTCAAACTCAGCCATCTTGTGCACGGTTTCTTGAGCCAATGTTTTTGCTTCATCGTAGTTCTCACGCCCAGGAACATTCCTTTTACTGATAGCTGCGCAGGTCATCATAGTAAGAAGTATATTTGGATCCGGAGAACCTCTCACTTTGCGAACTTTCAAACTGACATCCCATAATTCCTTTCGTAGTGTAAAGAAGAATACATCACTTTCAATTAAAATGCCGACAAACGTGAACAAATCGATGATACTATCATCGTTGCAAAGAAAAGGAGCAAATTTCTCTTCTTGTGAATCAATTTCATCTTCTATATGATTCTTAAGTTTGCGAAAGTTAAGAAGAAGGGCAATGGCAATTCTTCTCTCTTCATCTTTCAGTTCTGATAGATAACCCGCGGCGGATCTAGACTTTGAAGATTTAGAACAATTTTGTAGCGCAAAATTAAGAAGTCGGGAGGCCGCCACCAATGTCTCTAGCTTCTGCGTTACAGTAAGACTGTCTCTGACCACTTCCTGGATAAGTTTATGGACATGAAATACCCTGTTTTGGCTGCTGACTGAGAAGAGGGAGTAACTTGACAGTACCCTCAGGAGCATTGCAATTTCAATATTGCAACAAGCTTTTTCTTTCAATGCGTCCTGATCTAATTCAGGCAAACCTGGATTGATGACCGCAAAAGGTACATTCTCTGATTCCAGGAAGGCCGCAATGCGCATCATGCTGGCAGCAGCTGGTGATTGTTCTTTGACATATGCAAAGTTCATCTCCCAAGTGGTATGAACTGATAACCGATGCTGAGCCTCCATACTGAGCGCTGTAGCAGGCTGTTGCTTTAACAGACGCAACTTGACCTCTCGGTACTTTTTTAAGTAATCTGCAAAACTCAACGGAATGGGACTGGCAGTTATGTATGCTGCCGCCTGCTCGAGGGCTAGTGGTAATGCTCCAAGCTCTTTTGTCAGGGCAACCGCGTCTGGTTCAAGGGATTTTCCTTCAAGACCCTTTCTTTTCATCAGAAACAATACGCCTTCCTCCTCACTGAAACACTGCAGTTCTAAATAATCTTCACACGAGTTCTTCAAGAAAGTTCTTGCATCTCTGGCATTTTGTCTGGTTGTGAGTAGTATGTGGCCTCGCTTAGGTGATTTACTATTTCTTTGCCAAGGTCCTTTGCATATCTTTTTAACACCTGTTGGGCACGTTGGGTCTTGTAACTCATCTACATTGTCTACAACAAGAAGCCATGGGAGCTCCTTATTCGACAACCAGGTAAGGAAGTGGGTCAGTGTTTCATCGATACTGGCGCTCTTTGGAGTGAAAATATTCTTAAGAGCAAGAACCTCAGCAACTGATTTATTTATATTTTCATCGCTTTCACCGTTGATCCAGAAAACGCCCCCTGGGAATCGACTTTTGTTAATCCACGCGAATTCTACGGCCAGCGACGTCTTGCCACAGCCGCCAAGCCCGCATATCGTTTTTGTACAACAGGAAGTTTCTGCACCACTTTGAACACTACTCTCCAGAACAAGATTCTTTTCAAGCCAACTCAGAGCTGTTGTGCGCCCAGTAAATGAAGGTAACCTACTTGGTGCGGTGCAAAATATGTCCTCGTCACTGCCCGTCTCTGCTTGAAAACCATTATCTTTGAAGCTATCCACCACTTCCTTTACATCCATGAAATCCTTCTGTAAGCCAGAAATCTTGGTTTCGGTTGTATTCATCTTGATGGTAACCTTTTGCACTGCACTTTTTACACTCGCACTCTCAGTGGAGAGGTAGGCCTCTACATCTCTTAACTGAGTTTCCAGCTCCTCCCTCAACTCGCGCATGTCTTCCCTGTTCAGGTCACCTTGTTCTTTTACTTCAGATAAGTCGCTCTGAATATCGACTTCAAGTTTCTCCGCTTGTGCTTTTAACGCACCAATGTCGTCTTTGTTCACACCAGCTATTTTTTCTACGTCAGACAAATCTTTCTGAGCTGCCATGTACAATTTCTTAGTGTCTGCATCTACTTGAGCAACTTTCGTCTGAACATCAGTTAAATCACCTTGGCATTTTGTCAGATCTGATGCAAGCGACTGACGTAACAAATGAAGGGCCTCCATTTCAGAATTCCTGACATTGACCAGACCTTGATGGAATAAGTCTTGCAAGTGTTGGGAAGCCTTTTGGGCATCTTTGTCCGCATTAAACACTGGGTCACTCAACAAATTATTCAGATGCGAAAATATGGTTGGCACATCGACATCTTGAATCTCTTGCTTTGGAGAATGCGCCCAATGATTCCTACACTCATCTCTCGCTGCACATAGAACTGTTTTATTTACTGGGGGAGTGAGAAAAGGACACCATTCCATTAAGTTTAGGAGACCACCAATGTCCGTTGTTTCAGCGTCGACAACGTCCATTTTCCTGGTTCCAAGAGTTGGCATGAAGAGTTTAGCTATTTCCCACGCCCCAGCCGGAGATCCCCATTGATTTTTGTCACTGTTGTTCCAGCATATCTTTGGTCGTGGTGCCATGTGATGACGTGACAATTCCGCTTCCCATGTAGTACAAGAAGCACATTTGGCAGCACGAGATGAACAAGTGCATGGTGAAAGAGATTGGAGCGGAGGGCTTGAAATGAGGTTTCGGTACCAGGCTTCCATTTCCTTTTGGATTTTTGGTGAAATTCCATTTTTGGCAATGTTCAGAGCGCATCCAACCAAAACCCAGTTTTTGTGTTCTTTCTTGTCAAGATCTGCCACCCAACCTCCGGTCGCCATTACCTTGTCTTCTAACCAAGGCTGAAAATCTAAGAGGGGCAGTTAACATGTAGAGTTCAGTTGAATATGAAACTCCTCTCTTTCTGCACTATAAATACATACTTTACGTCTTGCATATAACCAATGTTTAAAAATTCGTGTCCAAATATAAATTTCACACCGTTTCTTCATGTAAAAAATTCAAACAATCCCCCTTAGCATGTACACTCTTTGTAACTCTGACTACAAAGCTACGCAGCAGGAGAAAAAGTTTCAGTTTTTTTAACCCTTTAAGCCCCAATATCCAAATACAAATTCTCTAAACTGACCTCTATACGATTCCATAAAGAATAAGTTGAGAGAATTTGATAAAAGATCAAAGCATTTTCCCTTAGGTGATTATTTCATAAATTCTCACAACCTTTTCTCTTGATTGTGTTTTGATAATGTAAAGAGAAAATTGATGTTTGTCATTTCGAGTCATTTTTGGGACTTAAATATTCAACATTTGTAAACTTCCGTAATATTGATTGTTATAATTTTCCACCTGATAATATTTTGTATCCGTCGCCGTAATTTTTATGCCACCTTTGAAAATTTTAATTGAGGAGGCCTAATTAACATAAGCTTTATAGTTTCCTTTAGGCCTCCTCGCTATTTCTTCCTACATTTTTTTTGGCATCTTTTTGTGATTGTAATCGTATGGCAAATAAATATTAAATACAAATACAAGGGTTAATAGACATTTGTGCAAATAATTTAGTATTTAAACTCAACTTTTAATCTCAATGTTGTACTAGTTAACCAGTATTGAGATTAAATCCAGGTTTATCCTTGGTTAAAACAAAGAAAATAACCTTGGGAAAAGAACAGAGGAAATTTACTACTCCTCACCCTAAGGTATCAAAATATGCTAAACTCTTGAAAACTCTGAATAATTTCGTGATTATTAAGCGTGACTCTCTCTAATGAATTTTGCTTCCAGAGCGTAGTTATTACACCGGATCATGAACAGCACTGTGTGTGCGACATACTTCACAAAGTATGGCCAAAACAGAAAAATGAAATTCATGATAACACAATAGCTGTTTACCGAGACCGAAGAAAAGTGAAATCTTAATCGATTAACAAATGCAAATTTAATATTTCAGCCTTGCCTTCCATTTCCCATCGAATGTTAAATCTTTTGGTTTTGAGGGTAGAACTTTTAGAAATTGTAGTAAACCTTAAAATCACTGTTTACTAAATGATTCTGTTTTTTTTTTCTTCACAAAAATCGACGAATTCAGGTGAAAAACATTTATTCGTCTGTGCTATGTCACAGTACGCCCTGGCTCCAAAGAATAAATCAAACGTTTCCGCGAAGCAGTAACGCGGGTGCTTTAACTGCTCAGACGGACACACTACCTATTTCGCGACATTTCGATATGTAGTTTAAAGTAGGATTTCTTACCTTAGGTCTTACCTTACTTGATCATAGGCTTGTTGCACTTGGTGGAGATAATTCAGACTGAAATAATGGCTTCCCTTGCAGCAAATCTATAACTCTATCGAAATCGAAAGCGGAAATGATAAAGCTGATTTAAGGTACACGCGTTGTTGACCAAGCGTGAGGCCGATATAGATAGCTACTGGCCAAGTTTTATTTTCGTTTTGTTATTGAAATGCAGGCGGTACAGAGCGAGCGATACCGAGAGGGAAGATGCAGTCAAAACTCTCTACATAACAACATTGCGCTTCAAAAATCATCTTTCCATAAACAGCAATTAGAGACGAACGATGGACAAACAATGTAATCCCTGTATTTTGCACAGGTTACAAGCTTTGTTTTGTAAAACTATTCAGTATATGTGAACTTCGGGTCTCTGTTGTATTGATATACCCGTATTTACTCGATTCAGTGTCAAGTTAACGCCATAGGTAAACATCATAGGTGGAGGCAAAAATAACGCAACCCGGCCTAGATTGAACTTCGCACCCAAACAGAAGAATGCAGCGTTGAAATTTTAAGGTTTTGGATAGGTGGATGATGGAAAGAGGTAGTAGCACATGGAGGAGGTTTGATATAAGTAATGCAGGAGTCAGCTAGTCTTCAAGGGGAGGTCGGCCTGAGTGATTTCAATTTCCGGGCAACAACTTTAGAACGAAAAACACTCTTCCATAGAGTAGTTGCATATCTGCAGTCAAATGTCAGGGTAAAAATCTGTCACAGTACAGGGCGGTTTTTAGCGCTTTTTTCAGTTTTATGACAGCTAACGGTCTGTGAAATAGCCTACCCTACACGTGATGTCAATAAGTTCAAAAAGATAACATTTGATCAAAAGTCAAAAGTCAAAAACAGTTTTGATATAGCTCTGTTTGCAGTTTTTACAGAAAAAACGACATTGTTCACGGTCTAGCTAGGGCCTCCTTGTTCAAACATGCATGTTCATGGAGAGCCTGTAGTGTTGAAGAATCCCAGTAATTGATTTGATGACAGAGAAACAAACTCATATATGGACATAATAAAATGCTTATTTATTGATGACTGATTCATTTGTTAATTCATTGCACATTGAAATGGAGGCATTTGATTGTTTAGGCAGTGGTTGACCATAGT